CGCGTAGGTCAACAACACTCTGGAATTCCCTTCCAGCGAATGTGGTGGAAGAGAAGACAGACGCTGCTTTCAAACGGCGTCTGATTGAGCACCTGAAGGGGCTATGGAGGAACGAACAATTGTGATCGAACCTTCGACCTAGTGGTGATGGGGCTTACACGGGCACCCTGCCCTCAATCCTGAAGACTGGGTCACGTTTGCCTTGTCAGGTTTTTGTGAGGATTTTCTATGGGCAGCACCCTTGCCAGGCGTAAACTGGTAACCTAAGCCCCAGAACACACAGTGGCGAACCATATCAGACCCTGATAGGTTAGGCGTATTATTGAACCGGATGACAGCAAGCCGCCTACCACCAAAGTTGGATGGTGGTGGCGGGGCTGGAACCTCTGGCCCTAGGGACTAAAACACGCAGGTGACAGCGACTAAACCGCTGCGCTGGCACCGCTTCTGGATAGCATGCGAGGCAAGGGAACTGTTGTGGTGGTTGGGGAGGCGAGAGGCACACAGTATTCCATTTAAATTGGTCCGGGTTTCGTGTGCGGCATCCATCTCGTTTCTTCGTCTATGTGAAGCCTTATTTTGAACAGAATTGGTTCCTAGTACCACAGACTTGGTACTGATGTTGTAGTTGTCATAAATGCACAATTCCAACTCCGGACTGAGGAATTATTATTACTGAAATGATGAAACATGATGGATGGATGCGCCTGGTGATCTTCCTTAGTGAAATCATGCGGAATAGTGGTCGAACGGTTTGACCGTTCTTGCGCATTAAAGCCTTTATGCGGAATCCATTACTACGCAGGGTTTAAACGTTACAAAATCGTACTACTAAAATAAATCAGCAGTCCCTTACTATTAAGTTGCCTTTCACTTCATTAAACATCTCCAAGTTCAGGAGAAACACAGCACGGTCACTCCCGCTTAGCTCGCACTCGCACTAGTTGCCACTAGAACATAAGAGCTTACTGTCACTACATACATTTACTTTACGGCGACTGGCTCCTGGGAGAGAATAAGACGGCCTCATGGATTGCTCGAATTGCCGCTGCCCACGGTCTACGGTAAGATCAGCGCAGATTGTGATCCAGCTTTATTTTCATCGGTGAATGCCGTAGACGGAGCGGAGATCCAGGTTTTTCGTACCGTTTCTAGCCAGGTTTTCAGCTGCCCACCTCCGCCAGTTCGGGCAGGGAGGCGGTGCCACGTCAGCTTTGGTCAGGTCTATCAGATTTACGAAGTATGTGATCAAACCATTGTATGGTCGTTGCCGTTGTATTAGCGTCCGCAGACATACAAGAATAAAACACCGAATTTTGACTGCTTCATTTAAGAGCTGATCCCTCTATCGTACGCCCAGAATGATTCTTAAGCACCGAAGACTTTTATCCGTCGGCAGTCTTCAACTCTAGATGGCCAGGTTTCACAACCGTATAGCAATATCGGACGGATCGCTGCTTAGAAAACTCGGATGCTTGTCTTTAGGTTGAAATCGTTTCTACGCCAAAGGGAATTCTTCAGCACTAAAAAGGACTCTTAAAGCATCGACGCGCACTTGTACATGATCTTCAGCTTGACCGTTGGGTAGTATGGTTAAGTTCAAGTATTTAAAGCTTTCGAGTAACTCGCCGTTTAGTGGTAAAACATCTTCGGGACTGTCGCTACACCAGCTCTTTGGAATGTGAACTGTCGTCCAACGAAGAACAGATGATTCGGTGCAAGTAGCTTCAGATAGGGCGTACAATGGAAACAGGACTCTAGGTAAAAATCAGCAATCGACCAATGCAGGGTTTTCGCATCCGAGATAGGAAACCGAAAATAAGCGAGCCGTGTTACAAATATTGACCACCAGTGCCAGCCAAACTGGGAATCCGTGCTGTTGTCAGCAGCATTAAATCACAGTTGGGTGAACTGGACAAAGCGGGCCGTGCTTTGAGCCGAACGACTCGTCTCTCATGGTGAACACCCCTGCACTGTCTGTCGACTAACTTCTCACCCCGTTGCACTGTATTGCCCACATATCAGTTCATACGACCAGCAACTCTTCAATTTCACCTAGTGGTTTCACTTTCTGTCCATTTATATGAAACAGGAAGAATTAGAAAGCTTTCTGCAGTACTCGGGTAAGTATATATTGCGGGCCCTGTCCCATATATCCCTTGGTGTCCCTGCCCATCGATTCAGCGTTTTCCCGGAGTCGACTACCGAAGAGGCCAGCACCACCTGATTAACGATATCTCGTCTCTAAGATCGCATGCTGGTCCACATGTTGTGCTCTATTGCTGTGTGTTGTACATCAACACATTCAACTGTACATGCACTCACCGTTTTGTCTCACTACTGTTTCTATTCTCATGACCCACTTTCGCTCTCCTTTTTTCCTTAAACTCGTTTCTAAACCTATGGACACACCCTATCACTGCTCACCGAAACCGATGCGCTCACATGTCGCTTACACTTTCATTCAGGTCAACACTGTCCTCTCTTCTCCCGGGACTGACTAACGCCCTCGCCTGTGATTTGATCGGTTCTCTCTGTCCCCTTTGATAGAAAATGCTCATGAATATTGATTATTGGCGTATCGCCTTCTCAATGAATGAAAATGGCAGAGCTTGCGTAGTCGCCCTGTTTGCATGCTTTGACTTATCTTAGTTTCCAGAAATGAATTTTTGTTTCTAACTGTTGTAACCGCAGCGTGTTTGATTGCCGGATGCTGCTTGCAAGCACTCATGTCATGCGAACTGACTCCATAAGAATATCGATCAGCTCCAGCCAACCAAGTGTTATTATTGGACCATTCACACTGATTGGTTCGTTTACTGTTTGACTGCTCAGCCTGGCGGCATTTGAATGTCATATGATGCTTTAACCAATTCATCATCATCATTATTATGGTACGGCGAAATACAGTGAAGCGAACTTCATTGATCACTGCCAAAGCTGCAATGCATACAAGATTAGTGGTAAAATTTAAGGTGAACAGGGATTGGCCCTATTTCGAGGAAGAGAGAAGAAAGTGTACCACTATGGTCAGCACACAGAGAGTGTACAATCGAACTCTGCATACGTACCGTTTCAAGCGTTCTGGCCTGATAAGAAATGCTAACAAGATTGTCGTTGCTGTCGGTTCGCTGCCATATCCTTCAATGCCTCCAACTAATCGGCTGTGGAGTCCGTCGAACCCTAACCTGGAGGGCGAGAGACACCTAATCTACCTAATGGCCCTGTGCATTTCTTCATGTCTCGTCTCCACGTCATCTGTTGACCTACACGTGGTTTCCTCCAGCCCGGAGCGGCTGCAGCGAATAAAGCGCGGTGCGGCAGACGACAGCGAAGCATACGCAATACGAGCCCTAGCCAGCGAACTCTACTAATAGGAATTCGGTGTGCTAGCAGGTTTGTCCCTGATAGACTCTCAAACC